GAAGAGGTCGGGGTCGGGGTGAGCCGGCTTTTCGGCCTCCTCCGGACAGGAGAGGCCCTGGGTGACGGGCTGTGGCCCGGAATGGTTCCGCTCAGGTGCGGCGCTGCCGGGGCGACGGCTCGGCCTCAGCTCCTCCAGGGTGCAGGGGGGGGGGGGGGCTGGCGAGGATCCGGGAGACCTGGCTGTTCGGTGCACACAGCCCGCGGATCCCCGGGGCCTGGCCCAGTGTTGGGGGCAGAGGAGGAGTGGCTCAGTCGCTGAGAGCAGCATGCTGGCCTCAAACTAACAGCGATCCTCCTGCCTCAGCCTCCCAAATGTTGGCTTGCAAGTGTGCACCACCATGCGGGCTTTAATTTTTATTTTTATTAGTCCATGGCTACAGCACACGATAACATTCCCCACGGGAGAGCTAGTACACGAGCATGACACATCCTAACTCTCCTTACCTCCCCTTGAGATTGTTAAATTTGGAGACAGGGTTCTCTGCATTGTCCAGGTTGGCCTCCAATTTCAGATTCTCCTGCCTCAGCCTCCCAAGGAGCTGGGGTTATAGGTGTGGGGCATCACACCCTGCAGCGTGCTCGGTTCAGAGGCTGCCGGAACTGGGTCCAGCCCCGGCTGGACACTGATTCCCTGATTGCCTGGAGCAGCAGCGGGCGGAGGAGCCGTGAATGCTGCGGCCTCACATCCGGTTTCCCTGACTCCCCCACCTCAGGCTCCACAGGACCTAAGGAGACCTCCAGGAGGACGGAGCTACCAGAACCGCAGCCATCGCGGTCCGCTCCTGCGGGGCACAGTGCAGAATCTAGAGCGGATCTAAAGCGCAAGGATGGTTGCCCGGCACAGTGGGGCACGCCTGTAATCCCAGCACCCAGGAGGCTGAGGCGGGAGCATCATAAATTTGAAGCCAGTCTAGGTTACCTATTGAGAGACTCTGTCAAATCACCCAAATATAAAATTAATGTAATTCCTCGAGAACCTGAGTGCAAACGTCAGCTTCCTATATATATGAAATTTTTCTTTTTTTTGCACCAGGAATCAAACTCAGGACCTTGCACTTGCCAGGCAGGCACTGTGCCGCTGAGCTATATTCCTTGAAATATATATATATATATATATATATATATAGA